GATAACTCAACTATAAAAATGGCTGCAAATCTGTGTATGAATACTTTATATTCAGTAAGTCTTCTTTCTTGCGTGGTTTCTTAAGTCTTGTTTTATCACTTGATTACTCGTTCTCTTGGATGTGCTACGTCGTTAAATGGCAGTTAAAAACTATTCGAGCCCTTTTCATGTGATTTTTTTTCATTGGTTCTGCTTGCTCTTCATCATGAAAAATGGTAAAATGAAATTCACATAACGCAATGGGAATGAATTAAAAAATTTTCAATATGGCGTTTTCCTAAAACTTAACATAAAAATTTTTCCTATGATGAAATGAACAATGAAAATTACTGAAGGTAACTACTGCAATTTCTTGGGTTCTCGTCGTCAACTGGAAAACGTTCAGTAAAATTTATTTTTAATTGAAGTTTCGAGGCACAATTATTATATGATACTGATCCTAAAATTGTGTGAAAAGGGGATAGATCGCTTAGAACCTAGCCTTTTACTGCGTATTTCACTTTTAGTAAGTCGGTATCTATTTAATTGGTCGAAAATTCCGCTATTTTTTAAGCATAAATTCAAATTCACCTATATTAACGTTTCACGTTGCTTGCGATTTAATCTTTACAGGCAAAGTTACTCAAAATTATGGTAGCCCTGATGCTGCGCGTAAGTCAACGTCTCTTAGAAAACAAGAAGACAGCGAACTTTTTTTTGGCTCGCTTCTGAAAATTTATTATAATTACTTCCCTGAAGTCGTTCTAAATCGCATAAGATTATGAGGTGGACCGTGAAGTAATTCCCCGTAGTCGTCATTGGATTATGGAAATGCGTCGTTAGGCGGGAAACGCTCGCATTTCATGTCCATAAAGTCTGCTCTCGAAAGAGATCGGGAACATGTAAAATGAGATTCATTAAATGAGATTAAAATGTAAACCGAGCCTGAAGTCATTCTTTTGTAAAATGTTTAACATGTTTTTACTAAAGCACGAGTTTATTACGTAAGCATTGATTTTCAAAGTCACTGATTTGAAACGACAAGCTGAACACATGTTTAAAGATTTATCATTTAACACTACAATGCATTATCAGCCTCATTTTATTGTGTTTATTTGATTTTAGTATTTGTAATTCATAACACTAGTATGAATTCAGTTCGCAATTTACATCCTCATAAAACGATGTTCGATAGTAGATCGGTGTATAATGCACGTTCTGATTTCATATTCATAAGAAATAAATTCTTTTCGTACTTCCCGTTCAATGAAACTATGGGAGCAAGATCGATAACCTCGTGCTCCTGGACTCTTTTTTTCATGTTTTTTCCAATCGAAACTTGGTGCATAATCCCCGTGGAGTTCTGAACTAAGGCCACAAAACTGAGGCCGCGAACTATCGATATGCGAGGAGGCCTGGACCGATGGCCCGCTGGCTCACTACAGCATAATCCGGTAGCCAAACTTGCACGGAAATTCTGACAGAGATGACGGTAACTTTAAGTTTTAGTGTCGTGGCATGAAACACTGAGAGGGTAAATAAAAATACCATACACATAAGAATCATGGCATTTTTCAGTTACAACTTCAAGAAATACAATTTATTTAAAAATATTACGTATGGTGATGTTTCTGCAAGAAGAAAATTCCAGAAATCTTTCCAGAAATTCATTATTGAATTTACGGGGTTTCCTTCCTGCTGCATAATACTGAGAAAATTTTTATTGCAGGCATTTTTTCCCTTTATTGATAAAAAATAATAAAGAACAGAATTAAAATAACAATACTAGTATAACAATAACGCGAGGTGCGTTATTATATAATATTTTTCGAGAGAAGAATTTTATTTCAATTTTTTATATAATTTTAGCATCTCTACTGGTAAAAATTGATTCACTTGATCTTCCACTGATAGAAATCAAACACCCAAATTACCTAGCATTTCAACGGCAACGTGAATTTAAAATGGCCCTAAGAAAGACAAACCTTATTTTCCACCCCATATTCTCGTTTTCATCAATTCTGACCTCATTCATCATTGCACTTGGAAAAACATATATTATTTTCCAAATCCAAAACGCCACACGCGGCGAGCGATTGATCTGATCAACTACGCAATCCCACAGGCTTTCTTGCAACGAATTCCAGACCCTGGGCACCACAGCCAATAGCTCTTGAGCGCAGGCCCGTTACACGAAGCCCACTTTTCGGCACGAACAATTCTCTTCGATGGCCCGAAGAAAAAGAGCCAGTTAGGTTCTGTTTAATTCGGTGTCGAAGAGCTCGCCGACATCGCTCCCGATTACAATTCACTCCGAGAGATTGAAGGCGAGAAGTCTCAGTTAAGCTCTCAATTGGTCCGAGTCTTCATGCGAAAAGGCGTAAAATCTTATCAGGATTACATGACCGTGTTTGTTCTGATATAATTGGCTTCAAATCATGGGATATTTTGCCATGAAGATGCATATGAATTTAAGTATTTTACTTCAAGGCAATAAAAAGATGCTCCATCATCACAAACAGACATCAACACGCCCAATCTTCTTGACAAGACGTAAATACTGTTAGTCCTCATGAGCAGACATAAATACGGTTCGTCCTCATGAGCAGACATAAATACGGTTCGTCCTCATAAGCAGACATAAATATGGTTCGTTATCATGAGCAGACATAAATACGGTTCGTCCTTTTGAGCAGACATAAATACGGTTCGTCCTCACGAGCAGACATAAATACGGTTCGTCCTCATGAGCAGACATAAATACGGTTCGTCCTCTCGAGCAGACATAAATACGGTTCGTCCTCTTGAGCAGACATTAATACGATTCGTCCTCATGAGCCGACATAAATACGGTTCGTCCTCATGAGCAGGCATAAATACGGTTCGTCTTCATGAGCAGCCATAAATACGGTTCGTCCTCATGAGCAGACATAAATACGATTCGTCTTCTTGAGCAGACATAAATACGGTTCGTCCTCATGAGCATACATAAATACGGTTCGTCCTCATGAGCAGATCATGAGCAGACATAAATACGGTTCGTCCTCTTGAGCAGACATAAATACGGTTCGTCCTCATGAGCAGCAATTAATACGCCTGGCAGACGCAGGAAACGTGGCCATTAGACGTCCATCTCGGAGAGGAATGATGCCCAGAACGACCTCCCGCTGCTGGTGCTTCGAATTTCTCGACATCTCAGAGTTTGTGAGATCCGTGACAACGTTCAACGCTTTTGAATTATTTTCGAGCGTATCAAATTCTATAACTTGAAGTTTGCTCGAAAATACATTGCCACTACACTGTCTTTTATAGGAAATAAAAATATTTATATGACTTGAGATCAGCTTCTTGTGGTAATTTGAATATGTATTGAAATATCAGGCTTCTGAACATGAACAATAGGAATGTGATTCGAGATAAAATCTATTTTTCTTTTCATTGCTCCCAACACGCTTGCAATAAATGGCGGCTTAAAGTCGAAACCTTGTCTTTTATCCGACGTACCTCACAAAGTTACTTCGAAAATTTTCGTCGGACGCTGCTTTTCGATTTTAATTATTCTGTTTACGAACACTGCCGCAGCAAAAAAAAAAGTATTTCTTTCGACTGACTCTAAAATTCTAACCTGGTCATTAAAAGTTAATCGCACCCAATGCGGTCGCTAATTCACAGTTTCGAATTCACTCTCTGAAAACACACATGCACAGTTTATGCTATGACCTTCACCATCTTTTTTGTTCCTTAGTTAAGCACGCACTTTGAATCATTGTTTGTAAAAAATCATATAAATCTTCAACTTTTACTATAAATTTGTTAAAAAAATTTCTTTTGAAAAATTTAAGATTAGAAACTTCGTTCTCAGAGACTCTGAAAACAAGAAACTTTGCATTTTCACTAAGATATACTCTAGAGCGCCGCAGTACCTTCACCTGAAACATGCAAGTCTCCAAGTCCCCGGGCATCAAAGTTTGCAATACACGTCCCCTAAGTTCTCATCCCGCGCATTGCCGTCTCATAAGTTGGCGTAACGTCGCTGTGCGCGTCCGGTTCCATCGTAACTTACGTGCACCGCCGGTCATGCAGCGGCGGGGCCGAGATGCCGGCGGCACTGCATGAGGTATCGGCGCTGAAATGCCGGCACAGGCGCTGGGATGCCGGCACTGAGTCATCGGCGCTGAAATGCCGGCACAGGCGCTGGGATGCCGGCACTGAGTCATCGGCGCTGAAATGCCGGCACAGGCGCTGGGATGCTAGCACTGGCGCTAAAATACCGCCACTGGGACTAATTGATGCCAGCATCAAAACCGAGATGCAGGTATAAGTGGCATCGGCTTTGAGATGCTGGTACTGGCGCCTGAATAACTCATTCGTTTTTCGTGGCATCATAATCAGCTTTTACTGATACATACTCGCTGCCCATGATTGAAATCTTCGTAAATGGCGCAACTTCCATCACTAAAGTTTAAATTCAATTACACTCTCGGGTGCTCTACAGATTGTGTCATAATAAATTCACTGAAGCATCGTAAGTAAGTCCACGTATGAGTTGATTTTGTTCAGAGGCTACATAGCTAACGATTTGATAATTCTGAAGGTGAAATTTTAAAGCTAATCGATTTAGATACTTCGCAGTAAATAATTTTCTAGCCCTAAGCATTAAGATCTATGATTGTGAGTAATACATTATCCGAGAATCCTGAATAAAATAATATTTATCTTCTTTTGGGACAGTCTCTCGATAATTATTTATCAACTCTGAAGTGGCGGCGGGATTTCATTTGAATTTCTATTCCCTGCGAAATCTGGCTTTTAAAATCTGCCGTATTCCCACTAGCGATAAACACACTCGCGAGGGAGAAGTCAAAAGTTATTCAGAGAAATATATTGCTTTATTGTAGAGCTGAGCTGCTTACGATCTTTTATTTTGAAACGACGAGTAGATCCCGCGGCTTCAGGGCTGCCAATTCGCGGCGCTCTATTGTTTTTTTGAAAAATTTTGGTATTTCAGGACGGGACTCGCAGGTTTGAAGTTCGTGACCGGTATGGTGAATGGATAAACTGCTTTGATTACAGAGCTCGTCGCGAAAAAATTCTTTAAAAATTTCCACCGTGCCTAGGTTTGAAGCCTAGCGCAGTATTTTGAATTGCATTTAGCATATTGATAACATATCTGAATTTCCCAACTTGTTTATGCTCTGCTATATAATTCGCCCAGCTTTCTGCCGTAAACAGGCCAGTAAAAATTCGATTCGAACTGCAAACATTTGCAAATCACGATGATAGCAGTGGTCTTTATTGGAGAAATAAATCTGAGTCAAGCATTTTTTACACACAAAACATAAAACTAATTTCGACGATCTTATACTGTTGACGTGGAACTGCGTTTTGAATTACAACCAAAAATTCTCTTTGATCAGCGCTCATGTTGCATACTACAATAAGTGAAGCCAGCATTTCAGCTACTGCACGAACGGCTTTTCAAACCATTGACAATCTAGAAATTTGCTGTTTGTCCATTTAAGCTTGCCCAAAAATAATGTGGTCGACTTTTGCCATTTTAGTGATGTTAAACGAATATTTGATTATTTATTTTACGATAATATTAAAAAATGTCGACAGTAGAGTGTTTAAAGCCCTGCAAAATTCGATTCGAAATTTATTTTTAGAAAATTGGATCGACAGTCTTTAAGTAAGTAATGAAGATAATCTTAAACTAGCTTACAATAGAAATTTATTTGTGCCTTCTGACCGATTAGTCATGAACTTCTCATTGAATAATACTCGATGAACTACACACACTATAATTTTCGCGCATTTGTGAATGGTAATTTTTCATTGTTGCTTGGTTCCTTTCATAAAATATTTATTCATAACCAGAAATTGATGAGCAGTCCCACGATCAGCATACCTCGCAATACACCTGTAAGATGAAATAAATGCATTGTATTTTAATTCATTCTAATTTCTATTATATATAATAATTCAATACATCAGTAATTAATCTGTTCATCATCAATTTATTCGGTGTGGTGTGATAATTCACAGGATTTTTATTTTTAATTTTCAATTCTAATATTATATGTATGTATAATATACATAAACACAATTATAAGTATTATATTTCATTATATTTTTTCCCCACCCCCTAAGATCGTAATAAGATCTATAAAGTTACGCTCACCTTAGGATGATGAATGTAAATTACGATCACCGTAGGATGATGAATGTAAGTAACGATGATCTCGAGAGGATGAATGTAAGTTGCGATCATATTGAGATGATGAATGTAAGTTAGAACAACGTTATGATGCTGAATTTTAGTTGAAATGACATCAGAATGATGAATGTGAGTTAGGTTGACGTAATGATGCTGAACGTAAGTTAAAATGACCTCGAAATGATGAATGTAAGTTGGAATAACCATAGGATGATGAGGGTAAGTTAATATAACAATGAGTTTCAATATGTTGATTACCAAATTACCAAAATACCGTTACCGCGTTGTACTCACATACTCCGCCCGCACAACCTAAAACAAAAGGGGAAATGTTATTTTGTTAATTTCCCGTTTATGTTCAGCATGGTTCTAATGGATAATTCATTTGTATCACTAGAGCTGCACGAAGGTGACTAAATAAAATATTTATACATATGTAAATGGTTCATGAATTATATCTTTTATTAAATTTTACATACATCGCTAATAACGAAGTTTTAATGGAAATTTTAATAAAAAGGCAAGTATGGAACTAAAAAAATAAAAAATAATTATTTTTAAAAACGGGATCCATAATACTTTGTGATACACCTTGTTAATTCAAAATTAGACTAGAAAACCCTGCATAAGCTAATTTAATATCTCTTCTCTCTCGAGCCGTGAAGATAATTATAGAAACATAGGCACCATTTATAAGTAATATGGTAGTCAGCTATACTAACTTACGCATATTTATTTGAAATACTTAATGCGTGCACTTTAAAATATTCAGCTTATGAAACATTGTCCATTTCTGGATACTCACTGAATCCTGAGTTCGGTACAAAAGTATTCTAAAATACTCGATTTGTTATACCAGTACTGGATAATCATTGCTTCCGCTTGTAATGTCTTACGGATTACGGTACTAAAGTACTCATAAATGCTATACGTACATACCATTTTCCGTTACTAGATACTCATCAGCTCCTGAGTCCGGTAGAAAAGTAGTGTTAAATACTTTACGTATGAACCATTTTCCAGAACTAAATACTCACTGGGGATGTATAGAAGTGTGGCGTTCTTCACCTCGCCCGTGAGTGTATCCTTCAGTATGCATTCGAATTCGGTTTTCTTAGGCAAAAGAGCGTCCATGACCATCAGTTGTGACGTCACCAAGAAACATTTGCCCTCTTCGTCGTAGGAGTTACTCACGAATGTGTTTACTTGGATATCTTTCCTGAAATACACAGATTCTGATAGTTGTTACACAAATGTGTAGAATTCGCAAATTACACAAATGAGTCCTTCCCTGAAATGCACAGATTCAGATAGTTGTTACATAAATGTGTACAATTTGCGGCCATAATGATGAGGATAGTCCCGAGGTATTGGATAATAAGTCGGAAATACGAAACTAGACTCGGTGAAGTCAAAAAATGTACTACTACACATCGAAAATAATGATAAATTCTTTACTGGGTCTGTTATAAATGACTTGAAAGCACGGTTAGGCTTTGAAAGTTGTTAATAACAGGTTTCTATGTATAGAATGGTCCTGAGATTTAAAATGCCGATGGCAATACTTACTAGGCGCAATTAGGTCTCAGGCAGTTTGGTGGGTAAGAGGCTTTCCGACATAAATTCAAACATTGACAAACAATTTATTGTATGTCAAACAATTATTCGAAAAACCAATTTCATCCATCCTATTGAGTTTTACAAAATCAATAATTATGTAACTATAAATGTAAACTATCAATTGATTAGAACGTCTCTTTCCTTCTAGCGATTAAAGCTTTTCCTTCTATAATCCAAACTACGCTGATGAATGAGAAGTAAATTGAACTAATGACCAGTACCACAATGAAGTACGCGCCACTGTAATATGATAGTAATTGCATTCGCTTTGTTTTATATTTATAATAAGATGCCAAGTTTATCCATTTAATTGCTGCGAATAAAATTATGGTTCCTTCAGTAATATTACACATTATTGCTCCGAATGACACCCAAATCCATTTATGAAAACTTTTCGTCTCACCAAAGAAAATTTACTCTCCGTAATTAAAGAAAAATTAAAGAATTCATCTCAGGTCAGGGCTTTACGTTATCGCTTACGTTTTATTCTACTCATAAATTCGGGCTTTGCACGTTTTCTATGTTATTTTTTGTTTCTGTCATCGTGTGCGCCTTATTCCGTATTGGTGCACTGCATGCATTCAGTGTATTACTTTCATTACATTAACATTAAGATTTATTTCATTTATAGTTTAGTCAGGCAGGCTGCGTATCATTTGCATTGAATAGTCATGAAGCAGGTGCAGTGGACATGAAATTGTATCGTATGTCAATCTATAAATTGCATATCATCAACAACAAATTAATAACCTTATTGGTGATATTATGAAGACCGTAAATAAAAATTGTATGGTATGTCAATCAATAAATGGCATACCAGTGAATGGTGCATCATCAAAAAAAAAATATAACTCAGTACTCACTGCAGTGAGTGACAGAGAGCGCATTTTCTCGTCGACGAAAACGGCAAGTTACGGACGGACAGACGGACGGACGGATAGACGGACGGACGGACGGAAGGATGGACAGACGGACATGGCGAGCACAATAGTGCATTTTTCCCATAAATGAGAAAATGCGCTAATAAATTAACTACTTTATTGATGATATTATAAAGACCGTAAATAGAATTAAAATCGTTAATAAATACCTTTCCATTAAATTTTGTGCCACCTTCATGGTAGGCTGCTGATCGTCGCTGCAGTACGCGCAGTTAACCAAGACTGAGCCGTTCATTGGGGTCTCGTAGGTAAGATACAAGCTGCCTTTACTTGCTGCTCAGAGAAAGTGAATATTGTATATTTTACCGTATATTGCATTGTATGTATCACAATATATTGTATTATATATTTCGCAATAAATTCTATTGTATATTTTACAATATATTGCATTGTATTTATCACAATCTATTGTATTGTATATCTCACAATATATTGTATTTTATATTTTGCAAAATATTGTATTGTGATCTGCATTACATGCAGCGTGCTAAGCTTAACTCTTTGATATAAATATATAGCATTACAAAATAACCGCTATATGTTATAATTTTCTATTTTACAACCAGCATCATTATTACTCATGCCACCATTAATCTACAGTAACATAAAGATTGAAACAACCTTTAATGCTGTCACATTCGACAGATTTATTCTTATACTCATGAGCGATTAAACTTAAGCTTGATGGGCTCATTTTTTCTTACCTGCAAGAATGTTTCTGGATTGCATTTTTTCTTACCTGCAAGAATGTTTCTGGATTGCATTTTTTTTACCTGCAAAAATGTTTCTGGATTGCATTTTTTCTTACCTGCAAGAATGTTTCTGGATTGCATTTTTTCTTACGTGCAAGAATGTTTCTGGATTGCATTTTTCTTACCTGCAAGAATGTTTCTTGATTGCAGAACCACGCATCCAAAAAACGCGAAAATTATATTCAAATCCATTTCCAGTTACGCCCGTATAACTTGCCCTAAAAACCTCGTCATCACCTGAAATTTTGAAAATAGAACAGTATATAAGAAATCCAGCTTTATAGGAGTGCATGCACAGATGCACGAAGACGGACAAGAGGAAACGAGAATAAAATTGAATCTGCTCATATGTTGTTAATTTATCGTTGCAGTAAACGGCAAACGCGAGAGAAATAGATAAAAAAATAGTTTTTATTATTCACTTCACTTTGGACCAACTATTCTTCGGAAGATGAGTTAACTATCAGAATGGATAGAGCTTATCGGTGTTCATCATCATCACTCATTTTATTTTCACAAAAATTTACTCTTTCCAATAGGGGTTCAAATAAGTCAATCGAACATTGAAATCTGATTAATTATTGGCAGTCCAGCCATAATGAACCATATTATTGTCTCATCAAGAATAATTTACAAAAAAATTCTTTTTTTATGATGAGATGAACAGAATTATTGTATAATGTGAAATATGTATTAAATAAATATATATAAATTACATGCATAACTGGAAATACATTTTTTAAATTACACATTAAAAAAAATCAGTTGAATGATGCCGGAAACGTGAAATGCCGGAAAAAACGATGCGATGTTTATTGGGAAATACTTTTACAGTATTTACGACCACACAAGCAATTTGATTAGCATTTTACAAAGAAACAAGGGTTCAATGGTCACAATCAAATTACGGTTCACAGAAGCAAGAATTCAGAATTTATTGTAATATTTCCGTCATAAATATTATCGAGGATTATTTTATAGTTTGAAAAAGTCGTGTCGTAAAAATACACGTTGCGCGATGCTCGTTAGCGAGTCTCGTACTGGACATCAAAGATGCAACGGGAGCTTTTGATGCCGCAAGACGTCGTATTTCGCAAGTTTGTTAAACATTTACAATTTGCAAGCGCAAGCAACCTCTACTTTTTGTTTATAATGACAACAAAGGGGGAAGACTCTTGAACATTTACAGTTTAAATTGAAGATTGTTTGGAGAGTAAAACTTGAAATAATTAATGGGAATTTGCTCAGGTTGTTTTCTCTTCTCGATAAAACTTTGGACCGGAGTGTACATTTTTGTGGAGAATGAGTGTTTTTTTTCTAGCATGTAAAAATTACTTCCACGTGAATATTAGCATGATAGTAAAAAACGATCAATTGACGTACGATACATTTTTTCAGAATAATTTTAAAGCTTCTAATATTTTTCAATTCAGGATTCATTGTGAGATAAAAAGTGAAAGATGAAGCATGGCCCGAGAAGCTAAAATAATAGAGCACGAGCTTCAAATGACGCACAATTACTGATGTTTTTCGAACGATGTTAAACTTGAGTTGATATCTGAGGTTTTAATTTTATGAATACATTTATCCCTTGCGAACTTTATGAACAACTTTGAAAACGAACACGATATGCCAAACTGTCATTATTTTATACATATGCCGAGTACCGTTATTTTGAGTTGCTTAATACTTTCCCCCCTTTACGTATGCAATGCCATGCATTAATTTATTACTTGCATCCTTGCTCGCGTGTCTGATGAATAAAACTCATTTTATAAGTTAATATAACCCATATTTTCAAAGCTGCAATTTTGGAAGAAAGTCGTGTTCAGGTTTTTTTAGCCGTTTTTTTTTTTTTTGTTAGAAAAGTGTCCGACACTAACCTTCCTACAGCAGACCGATCATTCATACAACCAGTAGAACATATCACTTCAAGATTTCGCGCGCGATACAAAAACATTATTAGTTCAATGCGTGTCATCCGCTGGTGACAAACTCTCTAAAGCAAAATAATCTTAGCCCACATGTCGCCCAATTTACTATGAACGAATGTCGTGGTGGTTACCCATCTCCTGGCAGTTTTGTAATTTGCCGTTTAGAAGTTCCCCGGTTCATTAAACTTCGCTGAACTCCGCTCATAAATCATTAAAATCAGACGCTGCCCCATCAAGCTGTCGTTAATTCAGAGCCGTGAGCGGGCGCTTCAATGAAGAGAGATTAAAGAGTTTGCCGATGTAGTCTGTATGGACCTCTTCAATGAAGACGCTGCTCTGAACTCGGAATTTCCTAATCAGTATTAGGAAATCAATAACTGATGGATATTTGAAAACTGAGTATCTCCATCAGTCATATTTGTACACAAATATTAAGAAAAAATTCATTCCAAACACTTGCTTTTGGGAAGCAAGACACTGATTTAAAAAACTCTGCTTAAAATTTAATGCTTGCCGCCGACATGCAACGATATTCATCAATCCTTGCAATCAGAAACTGAATTCGGGATGTTCCAAAGTTCTCTCTATTGTATTTTGTCAAATTATCCGACTGCAAAGAACATCTGCAAAGTTTACTGCAGATACATCTTCATTAAGGTTAATTTATTCATTTTTCCAATCACAGTGAGCGGTAATTAATGACTGATTTTTATCCCAAATCCAGGTTTACATTAATTATATGCTAGATTTTTAAGCACTGCGATATTTCCCCTCTTTCCATAAGATCAAGAAGCATAGCGAGCTCCACAGCTGCTGTTCACAGGTCCTTGAACAAAAATACCCGTTCGTACAATTCAAGATCTTAACAATGACATAACATTCGAGTTAACAAATATATATGCGTTTCTTTGACCGAGGATTTTTTATTGACTCTAAAAATATTTTAGGGATTGTATAAACAGCATATAAGAATTCCTCGTCGAATAATAATTAGTAATTCAAGTCCTTGTTGAATAATACTACGGTTGAAAACCTTTGAAGATATAAAAAATAAATTAGAATTTGAAGGCAGATTTTGCTTGTAAACATTTCTTAATATTCACTTACTTAATATACATATTTTTAATATTGAATAATATTGAATATTTGAAAGTTAAAAATTTTTTATAATAAATGAAACTTATGTCAGTACTAAAACAGAAGAAAACTTTATTTTCAATTTTTGCTAAAATACCTCTATTGTCACCATTTCACAATTCATGGATAAATAATTCCACCAAATTTCCAACATGAAAATTCATTCACAAAATCTCACAACTGTTAACAAGCGTCAGCTCATGTGACCATGAAAGTTTTAATGAACCTTACATATCTGCAAGAATTGCGATGAGCATGCGAAATTGCAGCGATTCAATGATCGCAATTTCTAATCTCCGCGAATCTTAGATCGTCATAGATCTTAGAAAATATCGACTGCTTAGGTCCATTAGTTTCTGAGATGATCAATCGCTGCAGATATTAGAACACTCGATCGCCGTAGATTTTATAACGATCGATTTCTTCAGATGTTAGAACAACCGATCAATCTTGAACTTATAACGGTCAATAACAGCTAATTTTAGAACGATCGATCGTCGCAGGTCTTAGATCAATCACTCACTTCAGATCTGAGAATAATGGATCGTCTCAGATCTCTGAAAAAATCGACCGCTTCAGATGTTTGAACAATCTACCGCAGCAGATCTTAGATCGATCGGCCGTTACAGATCTCAGAACGCTCGATCTTCTCAGATCTTACTTGCGTGAGTTATAATCCAATCATCACACAGGCACGCAAGTAAATCCCAGCAATGCTGACTCCGCTGATGCGAGGATGATACCTTCGCATCAGAAGCGGGAAACCCGAACAGTATCTGGGCATTGATTGTTGAACTTCGCTGCCGAACACTCGGTATCAATTTACGCAAGTCTGCCCATTAGTTCGGCCGCTTTCGAGTTTAGGCCAAATGCGCTAACAGTTTCACGAGGAATCTATAACAAATTAATGGTCGACGAACACCGTCAACATGCGCAGTGTTGTGATTAAGCTAAATAGATTATTCGCAAGGCTGGAAAGAAATTACAATGAATTGAAATTACACTCTAGTTCGTTTCTCCCTTATTGTTGCGATTGTGCACTGAAAATTTTTGGGCATAAACTTGACGTCACATAAAATATCAATCAAGTATCAATCAAATGTCAATCATATATGAATCATATATAAATCGAATATCAGTCAAATGTTAATCATATATCAATTAAATATCAATCAAATATCAATCAAATATCAATAAAGTGTCAAGCCAATATCACTCAAATATCAATCAAACATTATTCAAATATCAATTCCTTCAAAGTATTGATTAACTACAATCAAATATCAATCAATTGTCAGTAAAATTAATTGAGCATAGTCAGATTAATCTGGCTCGACTGCTCTTTCGTTTTGATGTTCCATTTTCATCTTTTTAATTTCATACGTTATCTCTAATTTTATTCTACTTAGATTTTTGTTCATGCACTTCATCACGACTTTCTCAAGGTTTTATTATCGACATTTCTTCAAAAGACTTTCCCACCAGTGATAAAATTAATCGTTGCTCATAAAAAATTATTTTTCCTGCCCATGAGCAAAATACTACGCACGCAATATTCCATATATATGTAAAAAAAGTTTCAAGTCGACAAGTAATGATATATAACATCGGTCTCGCGATCGGCTACCTGATTATAATTATTGTGTTATTTTTATAGTGAAAAATTTGTGTTCAAAAATTAGTTTTACAATTTCTATTCAACGTGTCTGTTTTCTATTGTTTTTTGCTTCATTTGCAATTTTACTGCACTGTTTTTAGCGCATTTTCTCATTTATGGAAAAAATGCACTATTGTGCTCGCCATGTCTGTCTGTCTCTCTGCCTGTCTGTCCGTCCGTCTGTCCGTCCGTGACCTCAAGTTTTCGTCGACGAGAAAATGCGCTCTCTGTCACTCACTGCAGTGAGTACAAAATTGTATTTTTTTATTTCTAGAATTTCTTGCGCCGGTAGTTCAGAGAAGCTCGCGCGTGCGTCATTGCCGGTTGCTAGAACGGCATTTGTCTTGCCAGACTTATGACTCGTGAACATCTTTCTTGGAGACCAAGATATATTACGTGTAAAATATATGGTCAAAACTCCTCAGTGAGACGAAAACTGAACAACAAACAAGTCCTGTCTTCATTTCATGTACAATGACACCAGGACTTCAAATTAGTTTTTAGTTTTTTTAATTGCA